GTCACCACCAGCAGCACCACCACCACCAGCACGCTCCTATTACACTGTCGAGCCCTGTCCTGATTGAGCTGTGCTGTCCTGTCCTGTCGCTTTCTTCATTCACCCATCACCATCACCAGCTTTGACTTCTACAAGACGACTTATCAGAGGTGATAAGAGTGAGAAAGAGTGTTGATAAGAAGGACAGTGATTTGCGCTCTTGCTCTGGCTTTGTCTGATGTACTGATTTACTCAGACGACTTTTCCTCTTCTTTCAGTCCATCCTCATCGCCGAATAGAGCTCTCCATTTCTTCCACACCTCTTCTTGTGATCTTCAATTCTTCTATCCATCTTCTCATCCATCTACTATGAAGCTGATCCTGCAGAACTCCTCCGCGGACGTGGCCACCTGGGCGGCGAAGTACATCCGCAAGCGCATCAACAAATTCAAGCCCGGCCCGGAGCGGTACTTTACGCTGGGCCTGCCGACGGGCAGCACGCCGCTGGGCACCTACCAGAAGCTGATTGAGTTCTACAAGTAAGTTCGATTTCGAAGTTCTTCAGCAAAACATCTTCATCATCACTTTATCTTCTCGTTCCTTCCCAGGGAGGGCACCGTCTCCTTCAAGTACGTGATCACCTTCAACATGGACGAGTACGTGGGCCTGCCGCGCGACCACCCCGAGTCCTACCACAGCTTCATGTACGAGAACTTCTTCAAGCACATCGACATTGAGCCGCGAAACACGCACATCCTCGACGGCAACGCCGCCGACCTGGAGGCGGAGTGCGAGCACTTTGAGCAGGTCATCAAGGCGTCGGGGGGCATTGAGGTGAGTAGTGGTAACATTAGCTAACATTTGTCTAAAAAGCTTCTTCTTCTTCCTGAAAACAGCTCTTCATGGGCGGCATCGGTCCCGACGGGCACATCGCCTTCAACGAGCCGGGCAGCTCGCTGGCGTCGCGGACGCGGGTGAAGACGCTGGCCCTCGACACCATCATCGCCAATGCGCGCTTCTTCGACAACGACCTCAGTAAGGTGCCCCAGCAGGCGCTGACGGTGGGCGTCGGCACGGTGATGGACGCGAGAGAGGTAATTTGAGGGGGTGATGATGATGAGGTTCGATTTTGATGATGAAATTCCTCCTCCTCTTCAGGTGATCATCCTCATCACGGGGGCGCACAAGGCGCTGGCGCTGTCGAAGGCCATCGAGGAGGGCGTCAATCACATGTGGACGGTGTCGGCCTTTCAGATGCACCCCAGCACGCTCTTCATCTGCGACGAGCCGGCGACGCTGGAGCTGCGCGTCCGCACCGTCAAGTACTTCCAGGGACTGATGCGACTGCACAATAAGCTCATTGAGGAGTGAAGGTAGTTGCGGTGAAGATCAGTGCTCCAAAAAGGTTCCAAGAAGTTTGGAAAGTCCGGATTCGATGATGAGTTCCAGCTGTTGTTGCTGTTGTTGTTGATTTACATCTCTACTCTATTCTGATATTAAACCCCCCAAACATTCTACTTCTGCTGTTAATAATTAAAAAAATNAGTTCCAGCTGTTGTTGCTGTTGTTGTTGATTTACATCTCTACTCTATTCTGATATTAAACCCCCCAAACATTCTACTTCTGCTGTTAATAATTAAAAAAATTGGGTCCTGGGCCTAGGGCCCAAATAAGAGAGCGAGAGTGAAGGGCAACAACAATTGGCTCTAGGATGCGATTGTGATTGAC